TTTTTGTCTAACCTATTCTATTTTAATTATAAATTTGTTAATTATCATTAAATATGGTTCATTTTGTTTTTCTGTATTTGATGCAATTCATTATTTCATAATTTTGTCAAACCAATTCCCAACTCTACCCCCTCCTACACTATTCATTATTACTATATACAACTTTGATACTATTTAAAATGTTTGATTAATTCGCGCGTAATCACGTGACTACATGAGTTCCTGTCCCCCAAAATTCCAGGGTCCCTAACTCAAAGGACCGGTATGGTGGTCTCTGGATTGAAATAGCTGATGAAACGTACACATTTCGAAATTCAAGCAATAAAAATAAAATGTTGAATACGAATAACCATAATTAGAAAGAAAAATGGTTGAATGTTTGTCGATGGAAAGATACTCTGTCTGAATTTAAGTAAATATAATAAATCTATCCCTTTTTCTAACTCAGGTAGATGATGGTCTTTCTGTAAATTAGATATATTTTTATGGGTTAACACATAAAAGTATTTTTTTTGGTCGCAACTATCTAATATTCCTTTAGATGCTTGAAAAAGAACAGAACAATTTTGATCGTATTTTTTTGGTCGTTTCATCGGATTTTGAAATTACAACGATTTTACAATTTATTTTTTTTTTTTTTATGGTCATTCTATAAATTATAGATGTCTTTATGGGTTAACACATAAAAGTATTTTTTTTCGTCGCAACTATTTAATATTCTTTTAGATGCTTGAAAAAGAACGGAACAACACGCTCCGACCCTTTTTTGAAATTTTAGATTGCTGTAATTAAAGGTAAAAATCACCAATGATTGATGCGTTTTGTCATGAAGGCCTCATGAGATTAGTTACTACGGCGGCCATTTTGACAAAAAACAATCAGATTCTTATAATTTAATATGTAATGAATAAACATGCTGAGTTTCAAAACGATTCATTTATTTTCCTTCCATTTTAAATAAGCCTCTGAAAAACGGTCATAATTTAGGCGTTTACATGTATCGCCGGCCTTAAAAAAAAGTTATTACCCGTCCCCGTTACAAGAATCACCCTGTATATATATACAGTATAATCTCACTAATCCGGCACTTCAATAGACCGATACGTCCAATAATCCGGCACCCCACCCTCGCCGTTCTACGCCTATGTGCTCCGTCGCCATGTCGTCGTCTAACAATCTAACCTCAAAATTTGTGATGATTTTTTCTCTATAATCCAGTAATCCGAACATTCCCACAGACCCTGTAGGAGGGACGCGCCATACATATTGCTGGGGTTGCTATTAACTGAAAATTTTGGGGGACAGTTTCCGATGAGTTCCTGTCCCCCAAAATTCTTTGGCGCGTCCCTCCTACAGGGTCCCTAGAACATTCCAATAATCCGGCACCCTCTGGTTTTAAATAGTGCCGGATTAGTGAGATTATACTATATTATATTTACTTAGGTTAATTTACAACTGGATAGTGTGTGTTTTCCATCGACAAACAACCAATGTCCCAACAAAAATGGAAAGAAGCTATAATTTGTTAATATTTTAATTTAAAAAAAAAAACAATTGTTTCAATAATAGTTCTACTTGATTAATATGTTAATTTAAATAATTAATATCTATTAATAAATTAATAGCTGCATATTATAAAATAATATAAATAATACCAAGAGACAATTGTTATTTAAATTTCATTTTTTTTTTCTTTTTTTGATTATAATATATTTAATTATTATAATTTATTAAAGTTCCTATTAATTTATCTTCTTCTGAAAAGTACATCACCATTATCCAATTAATTGAATTTTTTTTTTAGATTTTTGTATTGTGCTGTAGTAATGGGTTAACATATCACATTAAACGTTTTTCTATTTATTTTATTAAAATGTTATATTCACGATAAATAATAATAATAATAATAATAATGAATAAACTTTCTAAGGAAAGTAATGGATGAAAAAAATAATTCAAAGAAAAGTAAAAGTAATAATAAATAAATAATTAAATAAATAACAAATCATCTGAATCAGCAGAACAAATTGATGTTAAACGTGTGTTCAAAGTTAAACTGTATTATCATCATCCCACATTGATTAATATGAAAAAAAAAAGCAAAAAAACAAAAAAACAGAAGAAATATTTCATCATGTAACCTGTGAAAAAGTTAAACATCAAATTCTGGAGAAAGTTAAGAAATTTCTGTTACTTGTATGCAGTTGCTTAATCTGTCATAAAGTAAAAATGGAAAGTTTTTAGTTTGATAACTTCCTTTTTCTTCTTCCTCTTCTTCATCTTCTTCTTCTTACGATTCATCGTTTCCGTTAGAATGATAAAAGATTGAAATGTAATAAATGTTTCGAATTTTCTAGCATGGTCATGTTTGTTAATAATACCTGGTGAAAGTTTATAGAATTGTCATTTTCTTATTTCTTTTTTTTTTTTTTTTTGGTTGTTGTTGTTGTTGTTTTGTTTCTCATTTATTTATATGTATATATAAATTGAAAATTATAATATGAAACACAACATACATCATCATTATCTTCCATTTTTGTCAATACAGAATGATAAAATAAAATATTCATTGCCTTTTTTTTTTTATAATAAATCCTGTAAACGTAATATAAAAAGATATGAAACTATTAAAATATATATTAGGGTGGGTCAAAAAAAATCAATTATTTTTTTTTTACAAGTGCCACGTAAAAATGGGTTGCTAGAGACCTTAAAAAAAAAAAAAAATTCTCACCAAATATGAGCTCTTCATTTTTTAATAGAAAGATCCCCTCCGCATCGCAGTTTTTTACTTTTTTTCTCACACAGTCCAATAGAATAAAATTCATATCTCATTATTTATTGATTGTACAGAAAAATGTTCTAGACAAATTTTGTAGGAAATTKAATGCTCTACAAAAAAGGTATCTTCGATTTTTTTCGTAAACCTCACCATTTCGATGATATTGAAGATTTCAGTTTGATTGATGATTTTTAGACTAATTTCATGTTTCTTTATGAATTTTATATAACTCGACAATAAATGATTATTATTAAATGCGCAATAGAAATTATTGTAGGAAATTAAGTGCTCTATAAAAATGGTGTCTTATGTTTTGGCGATTAAATGAAGCGTTTAAAAGATATTCATCATCAAACTTTCATGTGTACTAATTTCTGTCTCTGAATATCCATATTATATATATATATATATATATATATATATACACATATATTTCTTTTTTTTTTTTATAATAATTAAAAGCTTAAAAGCTTGCAGTATATATATATATATATGTAATATCTATGGGGTACACAAAAAGTTTCTTTTTTTTAATCCAATCATATATCATAAAACAATACACGACTGCTATAACAAAAAGGGTTATTAACAATGTTTATATTATAAAAATGTGTTAAAATGTTCTATGATTTTTTTTATTATTATTATTATTATCAATATTATTATTATTATGATTTATTTTTTCATAAATTTGACTAATTTGTTTTTAAATTTCTGTATTTATTTTTAATAACAAGGTACGAGGAAGATAAAAAGAAGAAAAAGAGCACAAGCACACACACACACACACAAAAAAAAGGGTAGAAGAAGAAGAAATGATAAAAGAACGAAAAAAAAAAATAATAAAAGGAAGGAACTGTGTAATAATACAAAAATAAAATGGCGGAGATAGAAAAAGTAATGAATGATAATGAATTGTACAAAGTCCAATCTATGAAATATCTTATTATACTATTGCTATATTGATTACAGCGAGTATAACGTTGTTTATTTTTTGGTGTATACGTGCAAGTATGTATATGTATGTATATATGTATGTATATATGTATGTATGTGTGTATTGTAAAAAACGAGAAAAGCTAACAAAATTGTTTCGTTTCATTATAATAATTAAACTATTTGTTTGTTTTGTTTTTTGTTTTCGAGACGATGCCATGCACCTTTTTTTATTACACGTTAGGAGTGGCGCGAAAAAAAAAAATTCATTTTTAAAATTACAATATCGTCGTTTACATTGTTTTCTTGTTTTTTGTTCAACAAACTTTTTGAAAAGAATAAAAAATAATTCGCAATATTTATATTTTAACATTTAAATATTCTTCATTTCTTTTACATAACTTTAATTATACATCGTATGTGTATATGTATATATGTATGTATGTTTGTGTGTATGTGTACTGTAAAAAGCGAGAAAAGCTAACAAAATTTTTTTCGTTTCATTACAATAATAATTACACTATTTTTTTTTTCTTCTTTTTCTTTTTTTCAAGACGATGCCATGCACCTTATCTTTATTTAATTTTTTTGTTAAATTGTATCATTAATTATAATTATACTATTTTCCTTACTATTATTATTATTATTATTATTATTAATAATGTAAACGAAGATAGAACAAAATAAAAAAAAATAAAAAAGATAAATAATATTAATAATAATGATAATAACAACAAAAGGATAGAAAATAAATGAGAAAAAAAAAATAATAATAATAATAACTCATAAAACAAAAATCAAATATGGCGAGCTTAGAATTAGAATTCGAGAGCCAGCTCGTTTAATCATTTTCGAAAAAATTAAATTACGTATGTATCGTTCAAAATTAAACGTTGTCTGTATGCAAAACAAAATACGTCCTTATTGTGTTAAGGTTAATTTACAGACATCGTTAATTAAAAAAAAAATAAAATAAAATAAAATAAAATAATAACCTAACTTTCATATGTATTTTTTTTTGTTTCTTTTTAATTTTATTTTTCCCCCATCTTTATTTTATGTATTTTTCTTTTTTTTTTTGTATTTAATTTCCCATACAAAATTCTGACAAATTGGTCCACCCTAAAAACATGAAAAAATACTACCAATAATAATAATAATAATAACAATAATAATAACAGTAATAATATTAATAATAATAACAATAATAATAATAATAATAATAATAATAATAATAATAATTGGATATTAATTTAACGTAAATAATTGTTTTTAAATGTTTATCATCATCATCATCACCATTATTATTATTATTATTATTATTATTATTCATTGAATGTTTTGAGATCTTTTAAAGTTGCATTTTTTTATTGGTTTGTTTTTATTTTTTTATTTTTTTTATTTTTTCGTTTATTATTCTATAATAGAAGCAGCACCAATAAATTATATTTAACAACGTATACGTATTGATGTATGTAAATTATGTTAACATATATATATATATTTTTATGGTAATTCCTTTAATTAAACGGATAATTGATTACCGTAAATAAAGTAGATTCAAAAATAAAAAGAAAAAAAAGAAAAAAAAAACCAATTAAAACTGTATAAATTAAAATCATTTAAAATGTAATCATCACATTTTTTCCATATTTTCCAATTTTCATTTACCCTTTTCTTATTGGTAAAAAGAAAAAAACGTTAATCTTCTTATTATTCGATTCTAAGATAATAACAATTATAATAAAAAATTATTCATGTATTTATATATATATATATATTTTTTTTTTTAAATAAAGTATCATAACGTAACAACAATTATACATGGAGTTTAGTTAATTAAAGTGAATCTACTTAAATATAGGAATTACTGTAAATATATATATATATATTGATAATATTTATGTTTGTCATCGTTGATCATTTTTAAATAATGTATAAAATATTAAACCAATTGATTCAATTAGAATTATTTATAATGCTAATTTTTTTATGTCGTTGTTTTTCTTATAAATCAAAAAAAAAAAAAAAAAATAGAAAAATACATTGAGAAAACATACATTGGAAATATCTAATATTATTCAAATTTTTTTGTTTTTTTTTCAACATTTCAATCATCGACGAATATTGAAAGATAAACAAACAAGAATATTAACAATCAAATTGTAAAAATAAAATGAAAATAAAATTACAGATTCAAATGATGATTGGGTGTTTGGATTGTTTTGAAATATGTGATACATTTGTTTATACGTATACGTTCGATATGATTTTACAATAAAAATTAATGGTTCTTCGTATTTGTTGTTTTTGTTTGTTTTTTTTTTTTGTTTATTTCATCGTTTTTAAAAATTCCTTTCAATTTTTTTGTTTTTTTTTTCACTCTCTTCGAGAGACAACATTAGAAATTTCTTCTTCTTCTTCTTCTTTTTCTTATCTTGAAGGAAATTTGTCGAATAAGACGACGAAAATCGATTAATTGTGTAATTCGTTGTTAAAATTACAATATCGATTATTCATTTATATGTTGACATAGTAGAGAATATGGCAGCGATGAGAGACAGTATAAATATAATATGGTTGTTGTTGTTGTTGTTAAAATTAACAACAAATTCGTGATCTTAGTTTATACAATTTCATTTTCAATTTCTCTTTCTTCCATTTTTGTTTTATTATTATTATTTCAAATCGTGTTTTGACTCGGTGGTAAGTTAAGGTAGTAGTAGTAGTAGTAGTAGTACACTCTGTAATTGACTTCGACATATTGGTTTTTTGTTTTGTTTTTCTCTTACACGTGTTTACTTACAAACAATTTATTATGTGTTACTTGTTTTTTATTTTTATTTTTGTTTTTCACTTTAAATATTGTTTTTAAATTAATCATGATCAATTTATGAGACCTATCTTTCTTTATTAAAGGGACAAATATTAATTTAATTAACAAACAAACAAACAAACGAAAAAAGAAAATGGCGTCAGAGAAGAGATGTGACCAAAAGTTATCCTATCGCGCGTCATACAGTTATTTTATACAGGTTTATATTTCTTTCCTTCGTATAATTAGAAGCAATATTGTATTATACTTGTCTCTGCTAATTGGATTAACTTGAACATGCTAATTTGAAATAATACAGAGAGGAAGACGGTTATGGATTTACTAAATCGGTCTTCTTCACATCTATTTTAATAATGTGCCATTGTTTTTATTCAAATGAATCCTTTGCAATGTAAAGCGAAAATGTTTCAAGAGTCCCCCTCTCTCTCTCTCATTATTATTAATATTATTAATATTATTACTTCATTAAAATTATCATTATCATTATTATTATTAATATTATTATTATATATAGAGCACACTTTATTATCATGCACTTTATAATCAAATGACTCATTTTGTTTTCTTCTTCTTCTTCTTCTTCTTCTTCTTCATCATCATCTTCTTTTTCATCTTCGTTTATTTTAATTATCATCAGAATAATTATTCTATCTATATACACATGTTAATTATAATTAATCATCGCTGGTGGTGTTGTGTGGTTTTGTTTTGTTTATTTTTTTGTAAATTTTCTTTTCGTTTTTTTTTTTTTTATGTGTGTGTGTGTGTGTATGTCTTTAACCCTTTCGTTACGAGCGCCGGAATTAGACGGCGTCCATTCGACTACCTGTGTGTTCGAGCGCCGGATCTAGACGGCCTCCATTCGATGACCTGTGTGTACGAGCGCCGGAATTAGACGGCCTCTTCCAAATACCTGTGAATACGAGCGCCGGATCTTGACGTTAGCTCGGCGGCGCGGTGCCTCGTATGGTGGCGTTACCCCGCGAAGCAGACTGCCGTAACGAAAGGGTTAATTTAAATTTAATCGATCGTAGCAACTAATTAATTAATTATTAATAATAATAATAATAGTACTCTCGCGGTTATTAAAAACTAAGGCTATCACGATAGCACAGGACTGATCTCGTTAACATCCTTTTTACAGTCTTGAATAGATATCTGAGCGATATCATGAATAATTTCGTCTTGAACAATAGTTTCAGTTTTTTTCAATATCGTATAACCTTGACGAGTTCCATCTTCGTTTTCACTGTAGACGACACCACCACCACCACCACCACCACCACTACCACTACCACTACCACCACCTTTAGCATTTTTGTTTATTTTAGTTTGACCATTGGTTGTTTTTTTTTTATTCAAATTAGTATCATCATTAGAAACACCGGGATTATTAATGACGACACTATTGTTAACCATTGTTTGTGATTTTTTTGGACTTTCCATTTTTTGTTCTGACACGTAACGTGGCCATATTGTTGTTGTTGTTGTTGTTCGATTATTTTCTATATTTTCTTTATGCTTAGTTCTACCTACTATTATTCTAATTCTTGAATTACACTTTTGTTCGGACAATGTTTGACTTACTGTTGGTATTTCATAGTTTTTCGAATGTTCATCCATTGTTGTTGTTGTTGTTGTTGTTGTTGTCGTTGGTGTTGTTGTTGGTATTGGTGTTGTTTGATTGTTCTCAACGGAATTATTAGTTTCACGAGTATTCAATGATGATGATGATGATGATGATGATGATGATGACGTAGATGTAATGATAGATTTTTTGGACGTATCATTAGATTCGATGGAAGAACTTTCATGAACATTATTCCTTTCTTCATCTTCAGTTACAACTCTGTTAACAACACAGGTCAAATTTTTCGTATCATCCGTAGATGATTTATTATCCGTGCTCGTAACTTTACCATTATTTGTTATCGCATGATTATTCGTATCCTGTCTATCTACAGTTGATGATAATTCTCGTTGTAATACTTTAACAGGACTCTTAGGTTTTGTAACAACATTATCAGTCGTAGATTTATTGTGACAATTGGTACATGATGCTGCTTGTTTCCCATGAGTAGGTGAGTTAACTTGTCTTTTACTCGTATTGTTTTTCTGAACAACTCCCATATTTTGTCGACCGAGTCTCAATACGTTAACCGATGATATAGTTTGCCAATCTGTCGCTGATTCATATTGAGGCACTTGTTGCGCATGATTCAAATGCAACTGTTGTTGTTGTTGTTGCTGTTGCAATTGTTGTTGTTGTTGTTGCTGCTGTTGCTGTTGTTGTTGTTGTTGTAACTGTTGTTGCATTCTTCGTATATCGGCTTCTATTCGTTGTTGAAACAATGGGTTAGTTATATAAGATTGATAACTAGCCGACATGTTTGGATTGACATTAGTATTTGTTGCTGCTGGAGGACCATATCCTAAATTAGTGGTATTTGGATGTATATTAGAATTAACGTACTGTGGCATCATTTGCCTTGGCAGTTGTGGAAATTGATATTGTGGTCCTGGATACGCAGGGCAGCTTTGTTGTGGTATATTTTGTATGATATTGTCTCTACCACGTTCCCTGTAATCATAACGATCCTGTGCTATTCGTGTTAGGTTACCATATTGTTGAGATACTATCTGACCCGATTGATACATCTGATCATTTGGCCCAATGACAGACTTTTGCGATTGATAACCATAACCATCGTAATGCATATCACCGCTTACTGCTCTGGCAAAGACAATGCTAGTCGTATGATATTGAGGAGGTTGCTGCGAAGTATATTCTTGTTGTTGTTGTTGTTGCTGCTGCTGTTGTTGTTGTTGTTGCTTTTGTGTTTGCTGCTGCTGTTGTTGATCTTGATATTGTGGATACTGTGGAACAGGTGGTTGTGCATCGATCCAAGTTTCTTGTTGTGGAGGTGGTTGTTCTCGGTCCCGCCGAGCTTGTACTGCATTCCACACCTCCTTCAATTCTCCTGTTATATCACGATCTTTTAAAATAGTGTATCGTCTTGAAAATATTACACCAGCATTCATCGCTTCTACAAAATCCAGCAAGAGTTCAATCAGGGACGAACGTTTCTAAAATGAAATAACATTTCTATGAGATAATGTTATTCTTGTTATGTTTTTATGAAAACTATATATATACATATATATTATAGTTTTTACGTACTTCTGGATCTTCTGCATTCTTTCCATTAATACGAAGAACCTCCGGATTAGCCATAACTGCGAAGACCACAGCTTCCGCTTTTGTACGTGGAGATGGTACTCTCATACCTCCCCAAAGTGGTACAGGTTCGGATGGTCTACATGGCATTGCGATTCTATCCCAGGATAGTACATTTACAAAGCAAGGTGCTGTTGTACCCTATAATCAATAAATAATTATTAACGATAATCTTTTCATATTTTTGTTTGATGAAGTTGTATAATAAGTATAGTATTAACGTTATATTAACATTTATATATATATTCCTGGTTTAATATTATTATATTAACGATAGGTATTGTTTTTGTTTTCTTGTTATTATATATTCATATATATATATATATATATAGATTTGTTCGAATGTGTATATATTTGATAATATATTGATAATTCTTTATGTTTCTATACATTTGAAACGAAACACAGGCAAAGAGACTGATCGAATGTACCTCTATTCACTGCCTCGTTCGATGTTTATAACATTTATTATTTGTTGAATATTAGAATTATTCCATTTTGGAGAAAATAGTGTTGTTGCTCGATAGAATACTTTATTTTTCATTGGAAGTGTATTCTTATGAAAAGCACATTGTTGGCAACTCAAGAGAAGACATCTCATGTTCTCGTCAAATGTTTAACACAGAGAGACATAACTGAAATAAATACATCGTATACACTTATAACAATTAATTACTAATAATATACTTTTCTCTTCCATCAACAAACAAACAAACAAACAAACAAATAAAAAACAACAAGTTCATTCATAATGAAAACAATATTCAATTTGTTAATTATCTTTCATTCTCTGTCTGACAGATCAAAATGATGAATTGGTGGGTTTGAAGTAAATTATGTGTATACGAAGAATGGTTGCACATAATGTGACAGGAATCATTCATTATTTAAAACACAAATGAAGGTTTTTTTTTTTGATTTTTTTTTAATGAATACATCAAATGGTTTTCTTTACCTGTATAAAATCTCGTATACACATGTGAGGCTGTGGAGGATTTTTGAAGATCCTAGTCCCATTTCTCTTCATTCTTGTAACACCACCTTCCGTCATCGTGTTGCTGTAAATAATACTACATTGTATTATATATATATATAAAAAAAAACCATATCAAAGTTTATTACACATAAATCTCTTAATGGCTGTATATTTGTTAACGTCTTAACACAACACATTTATATGAATTATATTTAATTGTAAAATGATTGTTATTAAAAAAAAAAAAAAAACACATTACAATTGTCTTCTAATCACAACAAATGTCAACTAACTTACCAGAAATAATAATAATAATAATAATAATATTATTATTATAATTATTGATATTAACTTTTCTAATTGTTAAAATGAAATTGTCTTAAAGAAAGAATAATTAATCGTTAATTAAAATGAAATTAAGTTTAAGTTTACAACGTGAAATTTCCTTCATTGGAACGTACAATCGAAATCGATCCGCGTTAGCGACGAACGAGAATCGAAAGTACGATATTACTACTAAAGTAAAAGTAACACTTAAATATATATATATATATATATAAAATAGTAACAAAATTCTACTCAAATTTAATAAATCATAATTTGTATAAATAATTTCTTTTTTTTTTTTACAAGATAATAATAATGAATAATAATAATAATAATGAATGAATGATTGATTGAACGAATTAATGATTAATATAAATAAATAAATATAAATGTAATATAATAAAAATTGACGCCAACAAACACAACACAAACGTGGCGGCACGTAATTACTTAACACACATATACACATACACATACACATATACACAATTTGTCTAATGTTACAATAGAAAATAATATTACAAATGTAAAAGAGGAGAAGACACACGCGAAACGTTAGACGTCATTTGAACACCTTTAAACTTGGCGAGCAGTGATTTAAACGAAAAAAATACATTACAAAAGAATATTTGACAACGAATTAATAGATATTCACGAATGTAATATTTCTAACCAAAATTGTGACAAAGTTTTTAATCAAAGGTTACGATTTTTCATTTAAATTTCGTATTTATCAGTAAGTACGGTTTTTGCAATACAACACGAAGAAAGAGGACTGTCAATGTAACCTCGAAATTTTCTTAATGTTCTACCTAACCCCTCCCTCCCCAACCCCGTACCCTTCTCCTCTTTCTCACCCTTTTTCAACACACGAATAAAACCAAGCTAACAGCTAGCTAACAGAGCACCAACCAAGAATTCGAGCACAGTGTGTTGTACGTGTGTTACGATCAAATTCGATTGTTAACTATCGATGACATATCCTATGAAAATTATCATTAACTCACCCTGTTGTGTTGTTTCATGCGTTAAAAAAACACCGAACAGGCGCGTTAACTGGACGACACATTATCAGCCAGCAACGAAGGAAAAGATCCATCGCTTCTTTTGTTTATTATTTTTCCGGAGACTGCGCGTTACAATACGGCCATATTATGCGCCACTGGTTTCATCGTAGCCAATCCACGAACTAATTCAAAACTATGTCGCGCGCGACGCTTAGCGGTAGAAATTGTAACTACTACTATCTCGAATGCGCAACAATGTGAAATGACCGTAAGTTTACGCGCGTCTATATACGCGGGAATTTTAAATTTGAATTTTACGTTTTGATTATACATACTTTTATTATATATATATATATTACTATTATAATTTGACAATGTAGAACATTATTAGAAATTAAATTAATTGAATGATAGATTGTTGAAAGTTTTGTACTGAACTGTTAAACGTTTAAAATAAAAATGCATATATATATATATATACAATATTACACTTAATAATCTTATAAAATAGTGTATAAAATTGTAAGAACTTTCTCTATATAACGCGAATGATTGTATAAGATTAATTTGTTTCGCTTTTAACACAATTTTGATAAATACGGAACGAATGAACCGTGTTTAAAGGAGGTTCGAATTTATACTGTATAAAAGACAATTATATAGTTTTTAATACGGTATTGTAGCCGCGTATTGCACATTTCTTATCTATGCGTATATCGTAGAATGCGTGTATGCGGTATACCGACAAACCAGAATCGAAAGGGTCTGTTCGATACACCATATCATTATGACGCCTTGCAGGCAGAACTATCGATGCCGGTCGATGGTATTAATAGTCGCTAACTACAGTGTTTCGTGCCGCCTGCTTACTACAGCGAGTTTCAATAGCCCCGTTCGATGCATTCCTCTTCTTCTTYTTTATTATTCTCTTCTTATTATTCTTATTCTTATTCTTCTTGACACGTACACCATGAAACATAGAAATACTTTGATGTAATCTACATATAGAAGAATTTAAAACAAAAAATAATATTTATACAAATTATTATATTTTCTGATCATTTTTTATACAACATTTCAATTTATTCTATGAATATTATGTATATGTTAAATATGATATTATTTATATAATTAAAATATACAATATTATATTGCATTTATACTAATATGATAAAATGGATAAAAAGGTAGAAACAAAATAAGTAAATACAAAAATTCTATTATAAAAGAATAAGAATTCTAAACGCGTTCAAAACGCTATCTCGAACGTCTCTATCTAATAGACCCAACACCATACAATCATCTTCTTAAATATCTTTATCCATATACTTTAACTGAACGGATATAATAAAGATTTGCGATAAGGAGCTTGTATCCTCTTTAGAATTTACTATATAGTTCTTCTAATTTTTTATATTATTTCTGTCCTTCATTTTTATACTATAAGTTAGAGTTTTCTATAACATGATTTTCATATAAAAAAATTATCATGATAAGAGATCATTTGATTTTACTGATTTATCTAACTTCTCACAAGTTTTGTTTAACATTGTTTCGATAAAACAAGATAACAGGTATAACAACACGTATTATATAAAAAAAAGGGAGAAGGGATAGGGTTTGGCGAGTGTATATGAAATAAAACTGATGATATAAAAAAGAGAAACCTTATGAAACCCTTTAAGAAAGCCGTGAATGCGTCCATCAACGTAACACTGAGTTTTCTTCGGATAGCCTTATGATCCATCACGATCCACAATCTTTCTTTCTTTATTTTATTTTATTTTATTTTTTCTCTTTTAAAAAGAGCGACAGAAAGAGAGAGAGAGAGAGAGAGAGAGAGAGAGAGAGAGAGAGAAAGAGAGAGAAAGGTCCATAAGGATCCCGTAATGCGAAATAATGGGTTTCCACCCACTCGATGAAAATTACACGAGAAAGACGTGCCTCTCTCTTCTTCTTCATTTTCTCTCTTTTTTTTTTATATCTTTTACTTCCCCAATCATGAACCACCTCAGGGTTGCTGTATAATACTTAATAAAATAAAAATAAAAAGAATAAATGGATATTATAATACCACGCATCATCATTACCAACGGTATAGTGATAATTGTTCGTGAAAACTGCAGTTGCAATGAAGTAAATGCCACACTTTGTTATATTCTTGAAACTTTGACCCAAATGTTGTATTATAAAATATTTCTGGTATGTATCTACAAAAAGAAGAAGAAGATAACAGAAAATTAATAATAATGTATAAGTTAAGTATCATCTTCACCAACGAGATGGTGATAATTG